TTACTGAAAATAATGCCTGCCTTGTTCATTTCTCAGGTCCAAGACCTGTCTATCTTTTGGGGTATTCCTCCTAGGTTCTATTCTATCTGGAAACAATTTCCTCATTTGTATGTACAGCGTGGTCGTGATGATTTTCAATCTCAAAAAGGCAAGAAAGATGGTTTACTAGACAGTAAGAAACTAAGAGAGGAAATTTAGATAGTGTGGCTATGGGAGCGCCCTTACTGTTTTTATGGGTAATGGGCATCAAGAGGGGACAACCAAGACCAAGAAGCTAGCTAAAGCATCACCAGTCATGGTAAATTTATGTCTACTTGTTACATGCACTTAACTTTATTTGATGGATTCTACAATTAGAACATCAATCAGTTGCTTTTTATGGGATATAGATTAAGCTTATAAAACCAATCTTTTCTGCACATAAACGGTCCTAAATTTTAGAATGAAAAAAATCCTTATAATACTAATTGCCTGGCCTTCTCTTCAAAGTTGGTTGATGCATTTGCGTCTCAAATATCTACACAATCTCTTTCCAATGCCTGAAATTACATAGGTAACTCCATTTCACTAAGTTTTATACTTTTTTTTTTTAAAGCCAAATAATATTTTTAATAATAAACTAAGTATAAGGGGTACTCAAACCCATTTACATAGTCGCAAAAAAATCAAGCCAATTCAAGTTACCCCCATCTTTCAAACCGATCCTTCTCCAATTTACTTATTCCCCCCACAGTTAATAGTAAGGCATGAAATTGGATCCTGCAACTAGTCTGAAAGATTGAAGTAACACCTAGCTTTCTTTGCCTTAATCCATACAAAAGATCTCAATTGAATAAGTTCAAATATCTTACCCCTATTTGCCTCCGAATCTTGGAAAATCTTTTGATTTCGTGCTAGCCACATGGACCAAACCAATGTGTTCCAGATGTTGTCCCATCCTTCTTTGATGCTTGGATGTTTGGTCCATGTCCCGAAGCTTTCAAAGGTTTTCCTACAATCCTTGTCTAACTTGATGGTAATCCCCCACCATTTAGCACAAGCCACCCATAACCACCTAACTACATTGCCATTGAAAAACAAGTGATTAATATCCTCATCCTCAACCTCACACAATGTACACTTTCCATCTTCCATGTCCTTAATGACTCCTCTCTTGAACAAATTCAGTTTGGTTGGAATTCTATCCATCATTACTTTCCAATTAAACGCAACAATTTTACTTGGGAGAACAGGGTTCCATACCCTCTTGAAGAATTTTGTTTCAACCGGTCCCCTTTCCTCTATTGTTAATATTGCGTACGCAATTGAGGTTGAGTATAGGCCATCCTTACTATGCCTCCATTCCCATTTATTTGCACATCCGGGGTATATCTTCACCTCCTCTATCATCTTGCAAAGTTCTTTTGCCTCCTCTTTTTCCCATTGAAATAGGATTCTTCTCCATGATAGGTTCCATTTCCATGTGCTGCTTTGAGTGTTACCCATTTGATGGCATTCCTTCTCTTTTCCTGTTGATAGTAAATACAATCTAGGAAACTTATTAGCAAGGCAACCCTTCCCACACCACTCATCCCGCCAAAAACTCACCTTTTTCCCCTCTCCTACCTTAATCCTAAATCCCTCCAACAACCACCCGACATTCATT